GATCTGTTGTCCATGATAGCATTGCAGTGAAAGACAGAGGGGGAGAAATCTTTCCCTGGCCCTGACACCCTGCCCTCCTGCATCCTCAGTGGTTCTGGAAGATGCTCTTTTTCTTTCTGAGTTAATCCAGCCCTGAGCTGGATTAACAATGGCGTGTTTCTTTGTTGAAGTGCGAGCTTAGAATGGATGGCCATGTGGGTATTGCCAGCTGGGAGTCCTGCCCTAAGTACCCTCACTTGACACACATACACGGTCTCTTGGCTGCCTGAGACCCCTGCCCATCTGTTTGGATGGCACTGTGCCCGGTTCCCTGCTCAGTGGCCATTTTCTGTAAGGCACTGCTGCCAAATAGCGGTTGGTTCAGATGGACAGCTGACATAGCATTACTGCTGCTCTTCTGCTAGCAAGTCTTACTTTTCTAGTAAACAGAAACCTGTGCTATGGGTTTGTTTGATCCTGCTCTACTTTCAATGTCGCATAAGCAAAATTTTAATCCACTTGAAACTGTGGTAGCCTTTACCAACAATATGATTGGAAAGCAATTCAAATATGATTTCTCTGCACTGGAGGAGAGGTGCAGGAGAACAAATGGGTCTGCCAGCTGGCACCGAGTCCAGCGCTTTGCCATGAAAGTGCTTTATGGGTGACAGAGGAGGCCTGGATGTACAGAGCACTTCAGGGCAGCTGGAGAAGCAAGGAAGAGCTCGGTCTCACTGTGGTGAGGGCAGCAAAGTTCAGGATGTAGTTTTACTCCATGCTTTCTTTTCAGCTCCTTGTCCCCAAGAGTAAAGTCACGTAACTCCTCAGCCACCTCATGCCCAGCTGGTTTATGCTCTTTAAAGGGCTCATGTCCCAGCTCACAGATGTGTGCTCATACACCTCCATATACAAGATTATTCTGCCCCTGGGGACACTTGCAGCCTGAGAGATTTCAAACTCCAAACAAGTTTCTGGTTCTAGAGACCTGATACCGGCAGTTAAGAAATTGCGAAGGTTCACTTCATGCTGCCTGCCTCCTGTTAGAAATGTTTCAGATTTTCAGAAATGAATTTTTATTTGGAATTTCTGCAGTGTGGATAATTACAAGCTCTAATTTGTTCCGTGAAAGATAAGTGGTAGAATCCTCTCACAGCTGAAATCCCAATGCCAGTTAATTGCGGTAAGAAATCTTCTAAGTAGTAGTTGCTGGATTCCATTTGTACAGGACAGGACAACACGAAGTGAACTGTGTTGCAGTGGGAACAGGAGGAGCCAAAGGACAGGCCTGTCTCCCTCATTGCCTCTGCTGTTGAGCTAAATTAATGACCATTACCAAGTCACTCAACTTCTCTGTGTCTTGATTTAATTTTGGTATTAAGTAACTAATTAATTCCGATACGGAAGCAAGGCTTCTACCCTGATCTTGCTGTGGAATTAAAAGTAATGGTTTGCAGATAGGAAGCCTTTCATTTAGCCAAATGTATACTTACCTTTCGGGGAAAGTGCTTACCAGCTGATTTACTGAAGTAAAAACAGTGCTCAGAAATAAAGCGAGAACAGAGTGACAGAGATCACACATCCTGTATTGTCATCTGTTTTTCCATTCCATATTCAGACACAATCACGGTATTTTAGAAGCTTTACAACAAAAAGCAGAGAAAAAAGTACAAGGGATTTGTTCCTTGTTCTATCTGTGATAGCTTTCACAACTTCCCTCATGCCTGAAAATGAAAAACAGAGCTTTTCTTTCAGCTAGTTAACGTGGCTGTAGCTATATGTGTGTTTATGCCATACAAGCAATGAGGTTCCTTCCAACCCAAGCCATTCTTTGATTCTGGGATACACAATATACAGTTTATTAAAAAGAAAGGTTTCATATATGCACATAATTAGATATTAACTTCTCGTGATTTCATTGTTATTTGACTGTTCTATAACCAGTGCCATATAGAAGCCTGAAGACAGACGTCTCCTTCAGTAAGATGAGCAAATGGCAGCCTCAGCTCCTGCTGGAAATATGGGTCAGTTTGTGTTTCAGAATGTGGTGCCCTTGTGCACAGCCCTGGGTCCCACAGCCTCTACAAGTTGCTGGAGCAGTGATTTCTCAGCCTACACTTCAGTTTATTGCTTATCTGCTCCCATATCTGCACGGTGCATTTGAGTTGCATGTGGAATATTTTTCTTCATTCAGATGGCTGACAAAAGTGTTTCTGCTTTGGAGACTTGCAATTTTATTGGTTACAAAGAATGTTTTTGTTTGTTTGTTTGTTTTTATTTCTTTTTTTTCCCCCTAGACTGTTTTCATAGTATCAGTTTAAAAATTACTTTTTGAAGCTCTCTGGGGTTAATGCAAATAGAGAATGAACTACAAGGAATAGTGCAGAACATGCAGAGGCAAGAAAGAGTGAGGACTTCTCACTGCTCAGACATGAGAAACTTTAGGAGTAAACATAAGAAAATTCATGTAATTTTCACGCTGCTTTCTTGAAGGAGGTGGCTAGCTTGTACATAAATTGGTATATCTGTTTTTGATTTAATATCAGGATAGCTGATATATGTTGCATTACACTAGCTATTGCTTCTTCTTTTGAAGCACCTGGTTGACTTCCCATCACTGCAAAATTTCCCATTTACTCTTATTCCTCTTCCCTTTAATTTTTTTTAAGAAAGTCCATTAGGCGTTCACTCAGTCAGTGCAGGTAGTGCTTCTCCTTTCTTCATCTCTTCTTCTGTGCAACGACAGCTCAAAAGTATCCTTGAGTTTTTGTCTTAGTAATGAAGAGCCAAGCTGCGAGCAGAGATTTGGCGACAGTTCCCCCTTCTGCTTCCTCAGTGGCCATCTGATAAACAAGTGCTTATTCTACCAATATTGTTGTATGTGCATATAAACACATACACACACGCTTTTAAAAAACACAGTTGTATGCTGTTTGTAGAGAAGCTCCCCTTAAGGGATGCTTGCTTTAAGTATGCAGGATTCAAAGTGTGTTTCCTGAAGGGCGAGGCAGCAGCAAGTCTTCCACTCTGGGTCACAGCTGGATGCTGCACACATGGCTCCGTGTACTGAGAGAGAGAATGCTTAAAAAATAAATACATTACACTTTTCCAAAAGGAGAAGTGAGCACAGCGTGCAACTGCAGAAATATTCCAGCATTCTCTGACTTGCACACTTGAGAGAGAATCAAATTAACCATTTATGCTACATCACAATGTACACGCTTATGAACTGGAGTGCTTCAAAATCTACTGTGACACAATTAATACAACTAGTGCATTCCCCCCCTAACACTGTTGCTACCTCTGAAATACAGGCACGTGCAGCTTCCAACACAATCTGACAGTCCGCAGTGAAAGAGGACAGTTGTTGAGGAGGCAGGATGACTGTTTGGATAGCTCAGAGATGAGTAAGTTAAAGAGGAGTCTGCGATTCAAAATAATCTTCTGAGATAACAGCTGAAAGTGTAGATCCACTGTGATGTTGTGTTCACTACGGAAACTTAGAAGATAACGCCCAGCAGTACCAGGATACCTGTATGTACATAAATGTTTCCTGCTATGGAGTCCCAGCTTTTGCATGATACTAATATGCCACAACTTTGCAATGCACTGAGTGCTCTGTAGCTGTGATCTCGTTTCAGATCTTCCTTGCTGGCATCTGGGAGCTTAAAGGGACGGGCAATTCGTGGCAGGGTGAGGGGGACGGCTGGGCAAACCAAACAAGCTAGGTCAGTCCCCTTTGATGGGCCCCCTTTTAAAAGGTTATACAAAAGAACTGTTTTGTTTGAGTGAATTGCCTGCTACTTTGTGAAAATCATATAGAAATCAGTCCCAGATCAATGCTCTTGAGGCTGCAGGAGGGGAAAAAAAAAAAAAAACCGCAAAAAAACAACATAAAAGATAGATCTGAAGCTATATTTTAGCAAAAATGTCTCTTAAGTGCTGTTGTCTGACACTATGAACTCCAATCAATGTGTCAGTATTTTGGAATTTGAAAGGAAATAGGGATCAGACCTGACAATCCAGAGCTGAAATTTGATGCTCTGGTCTTTTTGATAAACTGACAGGCAGTGAAAATTGCACACGTCTGCAGGGAATCTGGAGAAAAGAGAGACAGTTTTGTAGAAAGTCTGCTTACGATTCACAAAGGCATGCATTTTATCAAAATGGATTGCTTTTGCAATGTGTGGCAGGTTGCCTTCCTCTCTGAATGGAAGCTTTTGCAGCTTGTAAACTGGTGGGGTTCACACACCTCTACAATAGGCCATGACTGCTCTTGGCACACAGTTCTGTTGCTCTCCCATTCTTGCAAGTGAACAAAACTTGATAAAAACAAGCAATCAAAAAGGAATTAGAAACTTTAGCCCCCTCCCAGTGTATGTTTAAATTCAATAAAATGGTTTTTAAAAGTCGTTCTTGCCAATAGTTTAAAACAACTGAAAAGAATCCTTTAGGCTTCATCTTCCTCATCGTCAAATCCACTGCATTTATGTAATGCTTTCTACTTAAGGCTCTCAAACCATACTGCACTTGTTCAGTCTTAAAATGCCTTGTTCCTGCAAATGAATGCTGTTACAGCCACAGTGCAGACTGCAGGGCCAGGCACAGCAGGACCCCCTATCCCAGCATGGCATTCCAGGCATTTCACACAGTTTACCACTTTTAAAATACTGGAACCCAGTCCTGAATCCTGCATAGTGTGCTTTGTGTGAGGGAACAAAGGAGTTGTCTTGTGGGACAGGCTTACTCATCCATCGAGTCCCATATATGCTCTGAGTGCAGCTGAGGCTCCCAAGTGCTTTTGCCCACTCGGTGGTGGTTTATTATGGTTGATTAATTTCTGGGATTTATCTCTGATTTATTTTAGTCCTCCAAAAAGAAGAATTAAAAGCTCTTTTGAAATTTGCTTTGTTTTCTTTTTCTCTTCCTCCCTTCCTCCCTTCCTCCTTGCCCCGCCCCCCCCCCCCATAACCCCCCCAGATATTAACTATTATAACTCAATTTCATTTTCAGATGTAGAAGAGTTTCAGTGGATGGAAGCAGCATGCAATGGAAGTGGAGCCTCTGCACTGATAGAATCTTTGAGCTTTGAACACACCTCTTTTCAGCATGTTTTGTTTTCAAAGACTTCTATGTCTGTTGATTTTATAGCCTTTACAGAGTTCACAAAATTATAGCCTAAAAATGGCACTGTATCATTTTAGCTTCGGTCTACAGTCATATAAGAGAGTCAATACCATCACTTTCATCGTTAGATGAGCAGTCCTAAATGCTTTTTTGTGTGAGTTCTTCAAGTTTAATCCTTTTTTTCCCTGTGTTGCTGGAGACGCTGGTAATATCAAAGAGAACTGTAGGCTGAAAGCATTCATAAGACATGAAGAGATGGCGAGACGCACTGGAAAGTTTGGCTTCGTGGATTTATTAGCCTCCTCTGCAGTGAGCGTGCTGTGTCCCTCAGAGCTGGTTGTGCAGCAGTGGGGACAGACAGCAGAGCAGCTGCAGAGGGGTTCCAAGGAAAGGGTACAGCAAAACACAGAGAGCATGGGGTCCTTGAAAGGCTCCAGACTGTCTCAGCCATCCAGACCTCGGCCAGTGAAGCTGAAGTCATTACGTTTCTTATTTGTGTATCTCAAAATACGAAAATCTCTCCTGATTTCTTAAGAAAATGCCTTAACTGATCTCTGCGCCTGTGGTAGAAGAGGGAAAAAAATAACTGCCTTCCCTTAAATGAAGTTACTGTACTGTGTGACAATGGGGGAGTGCATCCAGTCCCATGCTGCTGCTGCTTCATCATCCATTACTCCGGCTGCTCATAACAGCAGCCAAAGATAAGTGACTCTGACCATCCTGGCTTCTAGAAATTCTTTTCTACCTTAATGTCCGTGGTTCCCCTACATAAATCAAGTACAGTTGTGTCTGATATAATTTTCTGCCAAGGCTAATACAGCTGTTTCATTCTTGTATGGGGCAGTAAGAGGGGTATGATTGCTTATGCAGCTGGGAACCTCGTGCTTACAGGTTTCACGCTGCCTCCAGCGTTGGAGAGCGTAATCTAAAGAGCATGTTATGCTCTGTACAGACCACTTATGTGGAAGAATCAATAATGGAAGAGGAAGTATTGTGCATCAGAAGGAGAGGAGTGTCATTTGGCTTCCTTGGCACTATTGCATTGCGTACTGATCTTTCACTGGACATAAAATACACATACATGTATTGCATTCAAGGAAAGATCACTACTACTATTAGTACTTAACCACAGGAGTAAAAATTTGTTTGGCTTAGTGTCTCTTCTTCTTAATGTAAATTTTTATCTTGGGGAATGGCTGCCCATTATCAAGGTAGTTAAAAATATAACCCAGAATATATTAAGCATGGTAGGTCCTGTTCAAGCAGGCAGCACGTGTAAATTTTTAGCTCCTTAGTGAAGGATAAAGAATTAGCAGTTTTCAGTTTTCTTTTTATGGACAGATTTGTTAAAAAGGGGAGACATTGTTATATGGCTATTGATTTTCCAACATGCTTGGAAACCACCCATCATGTGGCTTGTTCTAATTGGTTTGTTTGGTTTTGTTTAATCCTTAATGAGCATGCATCCGCAGCTGAATATTTGTGTTTAAATAAATAGCTTCCATGCATGTCTGTTGCACCCATCTTTTGGAGAAGGTTTGAGCCAGAGTGTATGTGTGCTCTGATCACCATGCTAACATGCTTTTGCTTCAGTTTTGGCCAATTTGACAAGTGAAAAATAGATGTCTGCCATGTGACAAGCTGCTGAATATAAATTCTGTTAGCATTTGCTCCTGATAGAGAAGAGGTGAGGGCTAGGGAGAGAGTGAGGAAGAAAGGGGGAGTTCGAAGAGGCAGGGAGAGAAGAATGGAAAAATGAGCAAGACAAAAAGAGAGCTCCAACAGCGGCTGGCAGCAGGTGCCAGCAAACCAGTCAGCACTCTGGCTGTAGATGCCATATGACCCTGCAGACATATACTACAATTTCAAATTAATAAGTAAAAGCAGTGAAGAGGCGCATTTGTGGTGCCATGTCCCAGTATGTAGTCACATTGACCTGAGAGTGGCTGCACAAACATACTGATACTTTGCAGAAGAACATAGTAATAGGTTTTAAATCTGAAATTCCCAGCTAACTTCCTGGGGACTGAGCACAGTCTGCAGCATGCTCTATTTTCTGCGGAATAGGCTGCTTTGTTAGTCATGTAAGTGAGAGAGCCGATGTTTATTTAATTCCTAAATCACCCACTGCTCATATTTCTGATGCATGTTTGCCTTCTGTCATCAGTGTTTGCTGTGGAAGCAGTTAGCTGCCCTTCACACAGCATCAAGAGGGTTTTCTCATTCTCCCCCTTCCTTCTGGCAGATGCTTTGCACCTACGGAGAACTGAGCTTGTGAGTGTTTGAGAACCTTTATCCAAGCAGAGGAAGTCCTGGTTCTGCCTGGCTGGAGACAGAAGGGACACTGATGTACTCCACACCTCCGCCAGCCTGAACACTTCCCTCTTGCAGAACTGAGTATTTTAATCTTCCATCAAAGTATTTGTTCAAAAATAACCAGGATTCCAATAAAATTGGGACTACGGAGTTAAAGATATCTTTGTTAAAATACTGCACAAATTAAAACACACACATTAAAAACCACGTATTTGATAGCAGACAAACAGAAAAGATCTTCTGACTGTGTCTGTCCAAAGAAGCACGTTAAAGGTCAGTCCTCTGTCAGAAAGCAACATAACAGCACAGAGGGTGAGGATAATTTGTGAGCTGAGCTTCAACACTGTCTCTGTGATTGCCAGCATCTGTTGTGGTTTCCAGACTTGTCCAATGAGATTTGCTAATACAGTTGTGTGTTTCATGCCATGCTGCTGAATGCAAATATATGGAGCATGTTACATCCAATATAGCTCACCCTCAGGGAAAGTCTTATTGCCACACTTCCCCTTATACAGTCCAAGATGTCCTGTCAAGAAAACAGGGATATAGACCAAGTTGAAATGAAGCTGAATCAGACCTTGGATACTGATTTGCATCAGTAAATATGGACTCAGACTGCAAAGCAGAGATCTGGATTTCACAAAATTCTGCTCTATTCCGGTCAGGACTGAGATTAAGACCTTAAAGTAACAAAGGGATGTTCAGCACTGATGTAGAGATAATGCTCTCCCTCTTTGCTCACTTTCTGAATTTCTGACCCTTCTTGGGTGGAAGAGTCTACGGTGTGCCAGTGTGCCTTCAAATACTCTGCATCCCTGAAAATCAAAAAGATCATAACACTGGTAGGTAGCATTTGGAATAAGAAAGAAGTTTGAAAAATCTGCAACAACACTGTTTTCTGGCTAAAAAGTGATGCAGGCAAGTGAAGTTTCTGGAGAACTAATCTCTAGCTTTGTGACGCATGCTTTTACTCTTGATTTGAACTAACCTAGTTAACAGCATCATTCTCAAGATGGAGAAATGGAAATGGAAGTACTTTATTTCATTTGTAGCCAATGATGGTTCCTAAGAATTCATATTCAAGATAAGAATGTGCTCTGTTGTGAATTTCTCAAAGGAAAAATCAGTCACTGAAAAACATCCTCTAACCATCCAAATTCGCTTAACATCTTCTTAGATACTATCATGATAGGTGTGATAGAAGACAGACAGAGAAGCTCTCTCTATTCTTACAGTCACTTTGGTACTGTTCTAGATTTTTTTGCTTTCTTTCTTAATCAAGGCGTGTTCTAATGAGCTGAAAGTAGAAACTGACAGGAACCAGAGATCTGTATAAAACTGAGACCTGTCTTTAGAGAAATCCTGGGTTTTACCATTATCAAGAAGCCTAACCAAGGGCAGAGATCATCGTGCATGTACTGACCATAACATATTTTCATATTATAGTTTTCACATAAAATGTGCATCTCCTGTAATGTGTTAACATGATCTTTCAGTAATTGAGATACTATCTCATTCTCTAACAGAGCTGGACTGAGTTGTTTATGGGACAGAAGTAACTTCTTACCATACTGACGTTTTCAGAAAAGCTTATGTAAGTATAAAACGTGTTACAAAGAGTAACGTGTTGTTGCTTCATGATGATTCTATAAGGATCGGACGACAGACCTGCAACCAAGCTAGCTGCTGCTGCTGCTGCTGCTGCTGTTTCTAGAGCACTGAGCACCCAGCCCTCCGTGAATCGTGGCCCTGCACTGAATGCAAGTAGAGTGCCTGGGACATGACCTCCTCCCTGGTGCTCTTATCCTTTGTATCCACCTCACTGGCCTCCCATCAAAGGTTTTATAAATAAATCTTCGCTTGAGTACTTAACAGATGACTTTCTTTGAGAGCCTTTCTGTGGCTGCCCCAGAGTGCTGGTAAGCTGGAAGCTGCAGGCGCTGCAGCGTGGGGCTGGCCTTCTCCTCGAGGGACAGATGAGCTGGCAAAATGAAGGCTCCTTGCCCCTTCCCTCCAGATGATTTACCTACAAAAGAGCAAAGCCAAATCCTATTTATAGTCAGTAGCTGCAATCCTAACACTCTTAAATCTGAATTAAAACAGTAGGGGGTGAAAATGATTGGACTAAACGCAGGTGAGCCGGGCCACTGGAGGACTGTGTTGAGGGAAAGCCGAGCAAATCAATACGTGCCATGGGATGCTGAGGTGCCTGAAATGGTGTGATAATGGCAGCAGCAAAAGCTCCTATCGATGCAGCAGGAAATGCTTTTTGCTCCACTGATGTCTGCTGTTCAATTTCAGAAAATACAGCAAGTTCTTTTTCGTTATTAAAAGTGAGCTGGAAGGTTGCTGTGTAGCAGGTACACGTGTTCACAGAGCGCTGGAGCAGTCATTTGCGCTGCAGCACGCTCGTCTCATGTACATGAGCAGGAAGGGCAAGGAGCTGTTTAACAATTGTAACAATTGTGCTTTGCTTATGAAGGAAATGGGGAAGCAACGATCTAATCCATTCGGTCTTCATAGTGAAATTTACTCTAGAATGTAAAAAGCATTTTAACCTATTTGAATGATGGCTGTGATTATAGCACTCAAATATGGTGCGTTCTGTACTCCATAACATGTTATGAATAGCGTGCTGGGTGTTTTTTCAGTATATGTAAATTACATAGAAGCACAAAGGATGCATCTCTGAACTGTTTTTGTCGAGCTGATTACAGGTCTTACTGCCATAGGAGGAGGCTGAAAGAGCTCTGTGGAGAGGCATTGATTGATTAATAAAGAGTGCAGCAGCAACAGACATAACATTGAGGTTATAGATTTTCCATACTTTATCTTCAGGGCTTGTAAAGATACAGTGGTGATCAGATGATGAGGTTTTCTTTCACCTTGCAGTAGCAGGCAACAAATCACGGCATTCTGCAATGCCACAAAGCCGCTTTCTGCAGAGCATCAAGTAAAAGGAAACTCCTCCACAATCACGACTTTGCAGTCAGACATTGTCCTTTTCCTTCCACTCTCTTTTAGTGAGGGATGCTTCCAGCGATAATTTAAAGTAACGTCCCAAATTTAGAAACAAAGTGGGAACTGTACATTCAAACACTTAGGGATTCTATTTTTATTAAATTGAAAATGTGAGTGGAAAGTCACATGTGGAGCATGCGTGCATTTTATTCCTGCTGATAGATAGAGAAGATTTGCTGAAAAAAACCTGCGCTGAGATTCCAAATTAACCAGTATGTTGGCCTGGAGCTAAAATCAGTTTGTTTGTATGAGACGACAGCTCTGCACCTGATTAACAGAGAGGTGCAGCTGGTGGTCTGTGCAGGTGCTTTTGCATGGAACTCCACTCCTGGGTGGGAAAGCTCCCTGTCCCAACTGTGGGGCACCAACCTGGCACTGCTGGAGGGAATGCAGATTTCTATTCATCAGCTGTTGTTCTGCTGTGCGCCTGCAGCAAATACATAGAAACAGATAAAGAAGTGCCACAGCCTGTGCCACAGCACTGCTCTCATGGAGCACATGTGGTGCTGGAGGTTCTCAGCCTAAGGGTGCCCAAAGCTGCTTGTGGTTTACTTTAATAAGAGCTCAAGATTAAGTTATTTTGCAGCCGCTGTGAAATTTGCCAGTCTTTCTGTGGTTTTATACCCATTTTTAATATCATTTTCTCTTCCACTTGGCAATGGGAAAGACCTGTACATATGGCAAGTGGAGTGTACTCAAACTGATAAAGACCTAATACAAGTGGAAGAATTTGTCTTATGGATGATCTTATTAACAAGAGTTGCTCGATGATTTTAAGGCAGCCGTCTGTTGTTCAGATTGACAACAGGCCTTACACGTTTGCATTATTTCTGTTCTAATTCAAAACAACACACTTTTTCCCATTGGCAGTACAAATTAAGAAGAAGAGCAGTGTGCGTGGAGTTCTTCACTAAAGCAGTCTTTTTCATGTTTGTAGGTACATAATTTTTAGAGATTATTAAAGACAAAGTGATTTTTAAGAAAGAAACTGCTTCTATGGCAAGAATCTCCTGGAGGATAATTCCTTTCAAGCTGCAATTTAAATTACCTGCAGTACTCCTTCGTTCCTAAAACCCCAGTGACATTTTACTCTGAAATATTCAACACTTGGAATGATTTTTTTAGTTCTAGACATGATTTTGCTTTAGTTCTGAGTGATCCGGATGCATACGTACCTTTATTTACATCTGTGAAAGAAATGCAAACACATGTACACGTATACATGGGCTTGTGTCCCTCAGCTCTTTTTGCAGGATAGATGCAGGAAATAGGAAAGCACGAGATTACATCCCTCTGCTCTGCGCTGCTCTGAGGTGTGAGCAGAGCTCTGAGGAAGTCTCCAGAGCTCAGCACAGTGCTTACAGAAGCCCCACGTTCAGCACTGCTCCTGGTCTCTGTGAAAGTTGTCGCTGAGAGACGCCTCACAGTCAGAACATCGCTGCTAATGATAGTTTCAGTTTTCAGCATGTGTTACAGAAACTCCTTTTGTTCCTCCGACAGCCCACACAGTGATACAGCGCTTCATGATCCCAGTTTGATGTGAATTTCATTAGAAGTTTTACACTCGTAGAATCACTTGGAAAAGACCTCCAACATCATCCAGTCCAAACATCCACTTCCAATCAATATTTCCCACTAAGCCATGTCCCTCAGTACAACATCTATGCGTTTCTTGGGCACCTCCAGTGACTCCCCTGCTCCCTGGGCAGACTGCTCCAGCACCTCACTTCTCTTTCTGAGAATAATTTTTTCCAAATATCCAACCTGAAGTTCCACTGGCACAACTTGAGGCCATTCCCTCTCATCCCACTAGTCCTAAAAAGGGTCTGGTTCTTCTGGAGTTGCAAACTGGAATTGCTCTGCTGAATCAAGTGGAAATGCCACAGCTGTAGCATGAGAGAATGTTAGCATGAGGGAGTTTCAACCAGTGCTTGTAGTGTACATTCTGACCAGGAGTACATGCCAAGAAGACTGCCCAGCTCCATGCAGGCAGCGGGGTGAGTGGTGGCAGCCCCAGCTCCGTGCTGCTCAGGTACATGCATCGCACACAGGTGCTGGGGCTGTTAAGTGGAAAGAAGCTAGCTGGATTTAGGATCTCCTAGCATGAGAAGCATCAAAGCCATGCAATTATAAATAAATAAACCATGCTATTTATCTATCTTTGTGATATAAAAAAAATGTAAGCAAATGTAGGTATAATGCATTTCAGATTTCGCATCAAATTCAGCAGCAGTGTGTATCAGCAGAGAAAATCCTTTTCTATTGACTCAGCAAGAAAACGTGTGAATTCCAAGAGCCATTGCTTGCCAATACATGCCAGTTCTTTTTAGACATTTATAACTTTTTAATTGTTTTCATTTAATGATCGTAAGGATATTTCCAAATGCCAATCAATACGTACAGCACAGGATTCCCGGGATCTACTGGGATCATTCCCTTCCACAGAGAGTAGCTCTTGCAAAGTGTACAGGAGCACTTCAAAACCAAACACGGGAAATGAAGGATTCTAGTGAAGAATTCAGGTGAATTTATTAACTACATTATTACTGCCAGGATTATGATCAGAATAAATACTGACAGCTTTCCCATGCCACAGCAGTGCTCTTAGTGCCATTCTGAGGCAGTGTTTTAGGAGTGAGTTGGAGAGAAGGATACCTCTGCTCCATCACAGCGCTGTGCTGGGCAGGAGATGAAGGCAGCTCTCCATGGCAAATCCAAATCCTCTGTGGCAATGGTGCTAAGCACAGTAAGCAAATAAAACAGGAGCTGTTTTGCACGTAGATCCATTTGCATTGCCTCTGTGCTTAGGTAGATTAGCAGAGTTCCAAAAGGGATGGAGAAGAATGCTGAACACCTGATACAGAAAAGGGACCACAGAGAATGATTTTCCTGTGCAGACTTTAATGAGGGTAAGGAGAAAGCAACACAACTCAGTCATGAACAGCAGCCAACAGGGATTTTGCTTTTCACTGTGTCTACAAGGTTTTGAGTCCCCGTGTCTTTAATGATTTACATCTCTGAAAGACTTTTTAGAACTGCACGTGCAGACATTTTTTTACTGGAGCGCCACTGGAAAGTCTGTGTAAGCACAATGCGCAGGGAAAGACATGCCTTGAAAATATTACCTTGTAGGAAAAAGAAATGCACAGAGCTTCTGCCCTTTTCCAAAATCATGGAATGTTGTTAAAACTAGGCTGCAGACTGATTTATATATTGATTTATTTAGAGAATGAGTGGGTCACTGTAAAGGCAGTCCAGAAGCAGAAAAGAAGACTGTATGGCTAACATCCTAGAAAACAAACAGATGATGTTTCTTCTCTTTCCCTTTTGTAACTTCTCAGTAATCTCCATGTGGTGCTTTATCCTTAGCCCTGGAACTCCCCTTTTAGATAGGGTTATTTTGTTTTGTTCCAATAACGACAAAAACATTTTGACTCAAGAAGGTTGCATTATGCGGTGCCATGAGATTTGTGCTTCTCCCCCACCTCTTCCCTGTTAGCTAAAGCTGCTTTGTAATACATTAAATGATACAACACAAAAGATCTAATAGAATCTGAAATAGCTTGAATTCGTAGAAACATGTAAAGCAGCACAGAATGAAT